TATACACCAAAGTCTATTTAGCCATCCTTCTGATGGGATTTGGGGCTGCTTCCAACTTCTAGCTATTGCAAACAGTATTGCCATAAACGTGGAAGCATATAGTCTATTCATGCTTTGTCTTTAATTCTTTGTGCATGAATCCAGAAGAAGTCTTGCTGGAGTATATGGAATTTTCATCCTTATATTGCTTGCCACAACGGTTGTACATGAGAGTTCTGATCTCTCTACACACTCTCCGGTATTTGTTATTTTCTTTTTAAAAATTGGGCATCGTTGTCAATGTAAGGTAATATCTCATCATTCTTTTGTTTTACATCTCCCAGATGACTAGTGGTTGTGAGCATTTTTTCATGTGTTTGTTAGCCATTCGAGTGTCACATATGGTGAACTGTCTGTTGACATCTTCTGCCCAATTCATAATTGTGGTTGTGGTGCCTTTCTCGTTCAGGAAATGCAATGTACTACAGTTCTTAGATATTCCTCTTTTGCCCTTTGTGTAATTGCTAAAGATTTTTTCCAATCCATGAGCTGTTTTTTTGTTTTTTTTTTGATGTGTATCAAGATCTTATTTTAAGTAGGTTCTAGTCATCTAATTCCTCTTCTACTGTGTGTGCTTCCTTGATTATATTTGATAATATCGTTATGCCCTCCTGATTTTCTTATTGATGATCTTTGTAGCTCTGGAATTTACACTTAATCCTTTGATCTACCTTGATTTCCCTTTTGGGGCATGAGGTATATACCATCCTGTTTCATCCTTCTTCAAATGGAGATGTAAGTTGTCAACACCATTTGTTGAAAAGCCTGTCTCTTTCCCATTTAATTTTTGTCAAAGACCAGTTGTATTTATTTGTGGGTTTTCTATTCTGTTCTGTTGGTCTATGTTCCTGTTGTTGTATCAGTATCAGGATGTTTTAACTATTGTGGCTATGGAATAGGTTTTCAGAATAGGTAGTGCAATGTCTCCTACTGTGTTCCTCTTCTTAAGTTCCTTGACTGTCCTGGATATCTTCCCTCTCCATCTGAAGTTGCTAATTTGTTCTTCCAATTTTCTCAAGTATAAAGTTGGGGTTTATATTGGAATTATATTTTGAGATTGTTTCTGAAGGTACTGACATTTTCATACTTCCTATCCATGAATACAAGGTGCCCTGGTGGTGCAGCAGTTATGCATTGGGCTGATAATCACAAGGTCAGCAGTTTGAAACCAGCTGTCATTTTTTGGGAGAAAGACCATACTTCTACTCCCATAGAGTTAGAGTCTCAGAAACCCATTGGGGCAGTTCTCCCCTGTCTTAGAGGGTTGCTATGAATCAGAATCAACTCAATGGCAGTGTTTGGTTTGGTTATCCATGAACATGGGATATTCTTCAATTTGTGTTCAGTTTCTTTTGATTTCTCATTGTAGTGATCTGTAGATTTCTTTGTACAGGGTTTTATTTTTATAACCTGATTAGGTTTATTCCTAAGAATTTCATCTTTTGTGTGGTTATTAGAAATGGTTTTATTTTCTTGATGTCTTTTTTAGAGCTTTCTTCTCTGGTATACAGGAATCTGGTTGATATATGCTTATTAATCTTGTAGACTAACAAATTACCAAATCTTCCTATTGTTTCCAACAATCACTTTTTCTTTGGGATATTCTACATATACAATCTTATTGCCTGTAAATAGTGAGATTTTCAATTCTATTACCTTGATTTCTCTTTGTTGTATAATTATTCTAGCTAAGGTCAGCAGATGGAAACCACTAGCTGCTCCACTGGAGAGAGAAGGGGCTTTCTACTCCTGTAAAGATTGACAGTCTTGGGAACGCACAAGGGCAGTTCTTTCTTCTTCTAGAGGACCACAATGAGTCAGCATTGACTCGATGGCAGTGAGTCTGAGATTGAGGTGATCACATGGCTTCTACATTCTGAAATAAACTCAATTGACAGATACATGACTTTACTAAATGTATTAGTAATTAACTGAAGATTGTGTGTTCATCAAAGATAGAAATGGATAGATAGATGATAGATAGATAGATAGATAGATAGATAGATAGATAGATAGATAGATAGACAGACAGATAGGTGATAGATAGATAGACAGACAGATAGGTGATAGATAAATAGATAGATAGATAGATGATAGATGATAGATAGATAGATAGATAGATAGATAGATAGATAGATAGATAGATAGATAGATAGATAGATAAATAGATATATCTGTCCAGGCAGTTTTGTCATCTCTATCTAATTTAATCTACAACAGTCTTCAAGGATTCTTAGTAGCATATTAAGACTGCCCTGATCTTTTATACCAAGGTTTTAAATACTAGTTCATCAGAAAGTACTTTGCAATGAAAAAACTCTACCCTATCCAGCTTCACCTATATATCAGTTTGTCGTACTGTGAGGGTTCATGTGCTTTTGTGAGGCTGGAATTCTGTGTTACAAATACCATCGGAGTCAATCACAGAAAGCAAGTTTCAGCTTCAGTAGAGTTTCAAGACTAAGAAGAGACAAGGACGATGGAAGAGGTAGTTCACTACGGAGGGATCAGCCACTGACAATCTTCTGCATAGCCTCAAGACATTGATTAATATAGTGTCCCTCAGGTTGAAAGGCTTTCAAAATACCAGTAGGGAAGAGCTGCCTCTTCAAAAAGAGTTAACTGAAATAGCATTGAAAGAACAAATCTTTAAGAACCTTCATTTTCTACTCAACATAAGTAGCAGCTGCTGCATATAGCCATTAATAGTCGATAAATGGAATGTGAAAAGTATGCTTATCAGAAAATTGGAAGCCATCAGAAATGAATATGATTGCATAAATCTTGGTATCCCAAGCAGTAGCGAGATGAAATTGACTGGGTTTTGCCATTTTGAATCAGATAATCATATTATTTACTCCATCAAGAATGACAAATGCCATTTCATTAATCATCAAAAGAATCATATAAGGTCCAGCTTGGAAAACAATGCTGTATATGATAGGATGATAAATAGCTGTATAAAAGAAGACCATTTAATATAGCCAATGCTCAAATTTATTCACAAACCACTAAAGTCAACGCTGTAGAAATTTAAATATTCCCAACTTCTTTTATCTGAAATTGCTCAAAAATACAATTAATAAGAATTAATACAAACCTGCATTGGAATGGGAAAGTTGCAAACAAAGAGGAAAATGTGACCTTGATGAAAGAAATGAAGCTGGAGATTGCATGATAGAATTGTGCAAGAGGAACAAACCCTTCATTGCAAATACCTTTTTTTTCTAATAACATAAATGGTGGGGAAGAACATGCTCAGAATATTTTAAACTGAAAGAAAAAAACAAAGCATACAAGTCTCATGTAGAAATATTGAAAGATTCTGTGTGTAAAATATTGAATGATGCAGGAAGCATCAAAAGAAGAGGGAAACGATATACAGAGTCACTGTGCCAAAAGAAGTAGCATGTGAGCAAGAATCAATGGTTCTGAAGGAAGAAATTAAAGCTGCATTGAAACATTTGCCAAACACAAGCATTCAAGAATTCAGGGAATCTTCCATTGAAATGTTTCAATAGGCTGATGAGGCATTGGAAGCATTCATTTGCCTATGCCAAGAAATTTAGAAGACAGCTACTTGGCCAATGGATTAGACAAGATCCAGTAGCCTCGTGGCGTAGTGGTCACACATTGGTCTACTATCCAAGAGGTCAGCAGTTGGAAACCGCCAGTAACTTTGGAGGAGAAATGGGACTTTTATTAATATCACATTTTGATTAGTTCCCCATCAGCAAATGGAGATCTCAAAAGCTTTACTTCCTCAGGCTTTACTGCATACAAATCATTATAGTCTGCTCAGTCATATTTTGAGTGCCTTCTGGTCTGAAGGGGCTCTGGCACTATCTCCACAATGTTCTACTTCGATCCCTTAGGTTTTCAGTAACTGGCAATGTTTTTATGCTATCCATAGGGTTTTACATAGCTAATTCCCCTGGAATAGACACTGTATTACTCCTTCAATGTCTGTTCTTATTCTGGAAGCTCTGCTGAAACCTGTTCACTTTGGGTCATCCTACTGGTATTGGAAATACCAGTGGCATTGGCTTCCAACATCACAGCAACACAGCCACCACAGTGCAATAAACTAGTAAGACAAATGGGGGAGAGTCTGTTGCAGTCGCTTGATTTTTCGGCAATCATTGACAGTATTCAAACAAATTCCACGGCTGCATTCCACTAACACATACTTTGTAAGAATCTCACCAAATTGGATTTGACCCATTGGCCAGTTTTCAATTTTCTAATGTTGAGCATGCTTCAGAGAGTTTCCTTAATAACAGGAAAGGAATATGGGTCATTTATCTACCAATTAACTATTGAATATGGTCCTAACTGTTTGAGAGTAGTGTATTTTATATATACTTTAGTATAACCATAGTAACTAGTATAAAACAATACCATTTATTTCACTAACATTCATAATAACCCTATAGATTGAGTATAAATGCCCCATAGAGTTTCTAAGATGGTAATATTTAAAGAAGCAGATTAATGTATCTTTCTCCCCTAGAGAAGATTGTGAGTTTGAATGTCCATCTTTTGTATTTGGTGGCAAAATGTTTTACTCTCCTCATACCTTCAGGGAATGTTTCAGAATGATTAAGAGAAATCAATGACAATGTTTTGTCAACCTTGCATTGCACCCCAAATAAGAACATTTAAACTGAGATAGAAAAAAATTTATTGAAGAAAAATTTAAAAATAAGGTTATATGAGTTATGAACTGAATTAGGCAATAAAAAGAATTCATTTAGCCCATATATTCAAAAGTTCTTTCCTGGCATATTTGGAAACAATTTGCATAAACCAAGTCTTCCGGATTTTAAAAAGTCTCTTATCTTCCTCCCCATCCTTTAGTTATTTATAGAGAAAACCTAACTGCATATACTCTTATACATTCAATGACAGCTTGTTATTAGATGTATTAAAACTATTTAAATTTCATTGTTATGACTTACCTCTTCATTACCACAATCACATTCTTCATTAGGATCCAGTATCCCATCACCACACACTGGTTTCAAGTGTAAAAGACTCTGAAGACATTTAGGCACAAAGTTTGAAATAATATATGCATAGTCATGCATGCTACAGTTGCTGAAAATCTTTATTCCACTGGAATGCCTACAATTAAATAATATTTCTCAGGTAATGAATATGTTAAGTTAAACAAAATCTAAGCAATACTAATTCTGTTGAGTCAATTCTGAGTCATGATGACCCCATACATAATTATATGAATGGCAAAAATGGCTACAATGAAATGGTTGTGTCATCCTTTAGTATAAAGTAAAATGTCGTGAAATTTTCATGTCTGCATTGTTTATATTTAATACTATTTAGTTTATGCAGGTTTCTTGTGGTTTCTTATAATAAGGTGCTATGTTTTATTTGTACAAATCTTTAGTTGGTCTGGTTAGGTTTAGTCCTAAGTACTTTATCTTTAAGTTGGCTATTGTAAATGGTATTGTTTTCTTGATTTCTTTGTTAGAACTCTCTTCATTAGTGTACAGGAATCTGATTTTGTGTGTTTATCTTGTGTCCTGCCATAATGCCAAAACTATTGTTTGCAATATTTTATTGTTTGAATCTTTCGTGAGGGGAAGTTACATGTAAATCCTATCATCAGCCAGCAGTGAGAGTTTCACTTTCTCTTAGCTTGTTTAAATTCCTTTGATTCTTTTTACTTTCTATTTACTCTAGGTAAGACATCCAGAATAAGGTCCCAGAAGAGTAGGGACCAAGTGGCTTTTTGTCTGGTTCCTGCTCACAGGAGGACAGCTTTCAAGTGTTTCCCTTGAGCAAAATGTTGGCTGTTGGTGGTTCATCTATGGCCTTTATTGTGTTGAGAACATTCCCTTATATTTCTATTTTGTTAAGTGTTCTCATCACAATTGGGTTTGGGATATTGTTTAATGTCTTTTCTGAGTTGTTTGATATGATTCTGTGGTTTGTATATTTTGTTTTGTTTATATGGAGGATTACATTGATTGTCTTTCTAATATTGAGCCATGCTTATGTACCTCGCTGAATCCCACTTGACCGTTGGTGTAAATTTTTAGAGGAGTTGACCACCTCATTTATCTTCTCTAGAGAAGCTGGTGAGTTCTAACTGCTGACCTTGTGGTTAGCAGGTCAATGCCTAATATACTATGCTGCCCTGTGATTTAAATAGTAATACAAAAATAGCGAAGACTGAGGTGGTAAAGGCCACGGGTGGTGTCTAGTGCCTACACTTGAAAGAACTATGCAACTGCTACAGTTTCAATGTTGGGAGAGTCTAAGGACAAAGTGAATACATTCACTTTCACTGACAGCCATTTGTAATGGTACAAAAAAGGGAATGCTGGGAGGGATATCACAAGGAATAACATGGCTTAGATGACTTTTGCTATTATTGTGAACTACTGTTTTAGTAAGCATAAACATTTCAAACTTTGAAATTTGATATACGTTCAATCAAAAAAAAATTTTAAATAGACATATCTGGGCTATAAAATACAGCTCAGATTTAAAATAAAAGAAATAATACACCCTTAGGTGACAATGGAATCAAACTAGATAGAAGTAACAGAATCTCCAAAAATATTTGCTGATTAAACATCAGAATTATAAATAACATGTAACATGAATCAAGAAAGAAATACCAAGAAAGTTTTTTAATATTTTGAATTAAAATGAATTTAGGGATTTAGGAAATCAGTCCATGGACTCTTCATAGCATTGAATGAATATATTACACAGAAATCTAAAATCAGTAATCTATGCTTCCACTTTGAGAAACTCAAAATGAAAAGCAAATTTAATTAAAATCTGAAGTAAAAAATAATAGTAAGCTAAAAAGAAATCAAACTTATAACAGAACTCAATGGATAAAATTAGCAAAAACATAAGCTCATTCTTTGGGGAAAATATAAATGATAATGTTCTATAAAATGTAACCAAGGGAAAACAGGAGACTACACAGAAATTTATATATTAAAAATGAAAGAAGGAACATCATACCTGCTTCACTCACTATTAAACTGAAAATAGAGAGGGGCTATGAATATTATTAATAACTCTATGTCCACAATAATAACTCTATTCTTAGTGGGATAAAATTATCCATAATTCACGCAGGGCATGTAGATAATGTTACTAGATCTATGCCAATTAAAGAGATTGAAACAAAATAACCTTCCAAAACAGAAAAGACTGTATGGTTGCATTGGTAAATTCTAGTGAGCCTTTGAAAAATAAATATTATCAATTATTTCTGATCTTTTCCATAATAAGGAAGCAGAGGGACTCCTTTCTAACTCATTCTGTCTGGCCAACATTATATTATTATCAAAGACAGATCATGATTTTTCAAGAAAGCAAAATTGCCAACTAATATTCTTTATGAATATGTATGAAAAAAATTGTGAACAAAATATAAGCAAATAAAATCCAAAAGTATAAAAAGGATGTACCACAATCAAATCAGATTTTAAGCTCAGCTATATTAAAAAATTAATTAATGCAAGTCATCACATCAGCAGCCTAAAGAAGAAAAATGTATGCATTATATAAGTTGATGTAGAGAAATAATTTGATAAAACCCAAAAGCCATTCTTGAAAAATGCTTTCCAAAGAGCAATTGGGTATTAGGGAAAGGGTGTTGCCCTCAAAATGATTTTTTTTAATTTTTATAAAACTTAAAGCAATTATAGTATTAAGGGTGAAAACTTAGTTTTCCCTCCTATGATTGGGACGAACACAAGGATGTCCCCTCCTAGTCACTATTGTATTAGAAATCCAAGCTAGTTTACTAAGAAAATAAGTTATATAGATTGAAGTTATATAGAATAAAGTTATATAGATTGGGAAGAAAAGTGTGTTAGGTCAAGTTGACTAGAGAAAAAAATCCAGTGAAATTCATATATGTGTAAGAAAGAGCTTTATATCAAGAAGTAATTGTATATTGCTGGGATGGGAAAACATCCCAGTCCAGTCCAACTCAAGTCCAAAAGTCCAAAACCAGTCAATAAGTCCCTCTTCAGACTCATGCAATGATGCAGAATGCAGAAATATCATAGGTTGGAGGTGAAAAGTCTTGTGGATCCAATGGCAGTGGAAGTATCACAGGGCTAGCATAGCTATCAGCATGACTCCTCCACAGGAAAGTGAAAGCAGAGGAGTGGGTGAGGTTCCCAGGACCCTCCTTATGAGAAAGTCAGGCCCACAAGAGGTACCATCAATCAGAACAGGCTAGACTCCACCTCTACACTTTTATATCTTCAAGTTGACACAAAATTATGTAACTACCACACATATAAAACTGCTTTTGCAGATGATACGATTATGATAAAAAAATCTTTGCAACTTTAACAAGTGTGTGAATATAAGAATTGTATACCAAAAAAAAGAGAGAATTGCATACAGATATCAACTGTTCTCCTAAAGCCAACAATGAATAACTAGATTCTGAATTAAAAATGCATTTTCACCAAAATAAATCTAAATTGAGATTTGGGAAATACAGTGAAAGAAAGCAAATAAGATATAAGTAAATTGAAAGGTATATCTTGTTTTGGGATAGGAAGACATTATTACTAAGATCATTTCTTCCCAGTTTTATATATGACAAAAGGAGAAAATGTTAAATTTGTCAAGAATTTCGTCTTGCTGGGATCCACAACAAACTCTCATGGAAGCATCAATGGACAGATCAAAAGATGAGTTATATTTAATAAATCGGCTGCATAAGACTCTTTAGAGCAGTGGTTCACAACCTGTGGGTTGCGACCCCCTTCGGCATCAAATGACCCTTTCAAAGGGGTCACTCTATTCATAACAGTAGCAAAATTACAGTTATGAAGTAGCAACGAAAATAATTTTATGGTTGGGGATCACCACAACATGAGGAACTGTTTTAAAGGGTCACGACATTAGGAAGGTTGAGAATCATTGCTTTAGGGTATTGAAAAGCAAAGATGTTACTTTGAGGACTAAGATGTGTCTGTTCAATTGACTCATATTTGTGTGAAAAACTGACATGAAAGAAGAACCGAGGCATTTGAATTGTGATACTGGAGAAATCTATTGAAAGTACCATGCACGGCTAAAGGGCAAACGGGTCTATCCTGGAAGAATTATGTCGAGTCCCCTTTAGGGACAAGATGGTGAGACTTTGCCTTCCATGCTTTGGAGATATGTTGTCAGGAGAAACCAATCCCTGGCAAAGGACATCATTTCTGGTGAAGTAGAGGGGCAGTGAGGATGAGTAAGTCCCTCAAATGGTGGGATGGACACAGTGGCTGCAGCAATGGGCTCAAGCACAGGAACAATGGTGAGGACGCAGCAGGAGAGTTGTGTTTCATTCTGTCGTGCAGAAGATCTCTATAGGTCAGAACCTACTAACAACAGCAATAAAACTAATCTCTTTATACACAAGGTCAATTCTTTCTTATTTACTCAGTGATTTTGCTCTTGACTCCTCCTGGTGTACTTCACCATTACATTGTCCTCCACTTCTCGTTACTTCATTATTTGGCATATATTATATACTATCTCCAACCTGTAGTATCCCTTTTTGAGCACCTATTTTAGTTAATACTCTTTAAAACATTGTCAATATTTGCCATCTTTATCATTTCTCATATAGTTTATCAAGTTCCTTAAAATGTATAACTTTATTATACAATCATCTATCATCTACAAATGTATTATCTTAATCTGGAAAGAAAAAAATTCTTAATGTTATTTACTTTCTTCATGGTGTAATATGTTATTGATTTTTCAATACTGATAAATCTAATGAGTTTATTTTTATCCTAATTATACATTTATTCTATTGATTTTTCTAGGTATCCAATACAGCATCATGAAATAAAGAAAATATTTTTATTTAAATTTTTTTCTCCTTTTTTCTTAAACATATTAAAAAAGTGTCAATGTTCCATTTTAATGGTGATAATAGACATCTTGTTTTGAATAATGAAGATTATGACAATCAAAGCAACACTGATATCTTATATTTACTTATACCTCACAGTCTTAAAAAATAACATTTTCCATCTAATTCTCTTGAGGGAATTTTTTTGAAATATAAAGTTTACTATTTTTAGAGTCTTATAATAATAAATAAGCCTTAGAGTTTATTTTTGTGTGTTGTATATTTACCTGTGTATGTACAACATACTTTTCCAATTTTTGATATGTAAAAGAAATATATATAAAAGGATTTTTTAAGTATTATATTTTAGAGTTAACTCCATAAAATATTGGCAAAATTATTTAAGTAGAAATAATAAAATGTCTTACAGTGCTTCACGATTCATTATGCATGTTGCTCTTGGACAAAAACATTTATTGATGTCATCATATGTTAATCCTATATTAAGGCCAAGTAGTTGAGCTATAATAACTGAAAATCCTTCCAAGCTAATTGCATCTGAATACTAAAATACGGAATATTAAAGAGAAATATCATTAAACAAAACATATCTAATTACTGACGACAATAAGAATTAATAATCACTTGAAATTTTTGGTTGGAAGAAAATTTTATCTTATCTGAAATATTTTTATCTCAAACAAAACTTTACAGTAATTTCTTTTGTAGATATGAATATCCAGTCTAATTTATTAAGGGACATGCACCTATTTTAAAAGTAGTCAAGTTGTCAATATCTCTTGGTTTAAATTGGGTATGCCTAAATCCTGTAGCACTGAGCCTTTACAGTTATCCAGTATACACTTAGCCTTCCTGATTGATTCACTTTATCATCAATTCAAATTCATCCAATTAATAAATATTATTTTATGGTGTAACAAATTCACAATAATAGATTATTTTCTTTAACTGTATATTATTACTTTGCAGAAACAAAGTTACCTGAAACTCAGAAATTCAGTTGCAAGCTTTAAGTGAAGAACATAATATTAACCAAAAACCAAAGTCCAACTGCTCCCTAGGGCTGTAATCAGCTGGAGAAGCTTTTTCCTGGCAAGGCCATTTGGATAGATCCTTCCTGCTCTGGAGTTGAGGTCAACTCATAGCAACCCTATAAGGCAAGGGAGAGCTGTCCCTGCGAGTTTCTGAGATTGTAACTGTATGGGAGGAGAAAGGCCTGTCAGCCTCCAGAGAGCCTGGTGATCTGAAACTTGCAGGTCGCAGCTCAATGAGTAACTGCTACACCACCAGGGGTCCTTTGACCAAATAAAGAACACTAATTTGTAAGTTGATAACTTTGCATGGCCCGTGAAAGATGTTATGAATATCCAAATGACCCTTGCAGGTAAAAATCTTCTCCAGTTGGTTTGCAGCCTGGGAAATCTGTCCTACAGGGCTGCCGTGTGTCTGATCAACTTCATGGTAGTAGACTTTGGTTTTTGACTAACATGTTCCTCACTTAAATGTCACACGTTAATTAATTTCTGAGTTTCAGATAACTTTGTTTCAGCAAAATAATAATATGCAGATAAAGAAAATATTATACTTACATATTCATATACTACTCAGCAAATTAAAATAGTATTTATCAATAGTAACATAAAGTTTAAAGAATCAATCATGTAAAAAGGATAAAAATTACAAACCAGGGCAATTCCTGCATCATAGCTTTTGTTGCATATTATTCCAGGAAATGTTGCTCCCACATATTTAGGATGTTTCCTGTAACTACATAATTATAACATCGTATTATAATTAGCATAATTGCAGAAACATTTACTAGATCATTTACTAAATTCCATTTCTATAAAATTTTATTATTCTTTTATAAACATTCCAAGGTCCAAACTAGATCTTTAGTAAACTATATACAGTATTCAAATCATAGAAAATAATAATAATTTACTTTTTAATCATCAGTTTTAGTTACTCAGCTAACGGTAATGTATGCTCATTGTCTCTGATTCTCTTCAGTTTCTCTTGTATTTTGCTCACAGTTTGGGTCACTAAAGTATAAAAGAAATAAACAGATTTCCCCTTGTTGAAGAAAATGTTCCTGTTTAAAAATTGCTCTTGTGTCTTGTAATCAGTCTCTGCGGAGTCAGTTCCAGCCTCTTGTGGCATCACATACAACAGAGCAAATCTACAACGTGTGCCAGTCTCCCTCCTCCTCACCATGGCTTCTGTGGTGGGGCCCAATGCTGCAACATCTAATTCAAGATGACCGGGCACTGGACCCAACGGGGTGCCTCTAAGGGACTGGTCCCTTCTGATAAAACGTCCAGAGGGTATAATTCTGTCTCGACATCTTTGCTTCTAAGGAGCACTATGGATGTATTTCGATTTTCTGAAAGTCCAATATTCTTTTGTTGTTGTTAGGTTCCATCGGGTTGGGGCAACAGAAGAAAACACAGCCCAGCCCTATGCCATCGGCACAATTGTTCCCAAGCTTGAGCCCATTGTGTCAATCCATCTCCTTGAGAGCCTTCCTCTTTTTCACTGTCCCTCTTCTTTATCAACATTAAAATTCAAATACATAAATTCTTCTTCGATCTTCCTCTTTTTGTCCAGTTCCATATGCATATGAAATGACTGAAAATACTTTGGTTTGGGTCAGGTGTACCCCAGACCTCAAGGCCACCTCTTTGCTTGTTAATGCATTAAAGAAGTCTTTTGCAGCGAATTTGCCCAATGCACTATGTCATTACCATCTGGATGTCTGCTTCCATAGGCTTTGATTGTGGATCCAAATAAAAAGACATCCTTGAAAATGTTAATGCTGTCTATGCATGATATTACTTATTGGACCATTTGGGATGATTTTTGTTTTCATCATGCTGAGTTCTAATCAATGTTGAAGGACTGTTGTCAAACCCTCTTTGCTTTCAATAAGTAAGGTTGAGTCAGCTGCGTACCGCACGTTGTGAAGGAGCTTTCCTCCAATCCAGTTGTTAACATTTCTCTTCATATTGTCTAGTTTCTCAGACTCAATTTTGTGAAATATTTTATACACACACCACTAAGTCAAAACATACCACCTAGTCAAAGAGTAGATATGAAAAGCAGTAATGTAGAATACATACTTAGAGAATAGTGTTAATTTTTATCTAATTAGTAAGTTGAAGGTTATATGCATATAACCTATTCTATATTAAAAATTATAGCATAAAGACTAATTAAATGTAGAATTTTTTATTCTCTATATTCTGAAAGATAATGTTATCTGACTCATTCTTACTGTTAGTTTTATCATACTTATTTTTTATTATTTTATTATATGTCCACTCTCATATCCATAGCAGTACCACTATTTTACTTATAAAACTTTCATAAAGGTATAGAGTATTAAGAAAAAGCATGAATGCTTTGAAATTAATATAGTGGAATTATTATTTACTTAATGAGGCTTTCTTTTATCACATCTTTACTAATACAGAATATTATGCTTACGTCAGTAAATAAGCTATATCATGGGGTCGTAGGACAAGATATTCTTGTTTCCATGCCAAAAATCTTTGCAATAAATCATCAGCATCCCCATTGGTGTGAATTTTGTTCTTATCTGACCACAATTCCAAGGAAGACAGTTTAACAGTTAATTTGAATTGTGTAAACATCTGAAAGTAAGAATAATGACATATTTATCCCAGGTATAGAGATTATAATATCAAAAAGTACCCAAAAAAGAGAAAAGGGACATTTGAGTATTTTGTTTATTAAACTAGTGAAAAAATATTTGTCATGATATATGCAAAGCATTTTCCATGAATATACATTAAATTATGATTATGATCAAATAAAAACTTACAGTATTCACAAGGCCAATAATCTGGACAATTTTCTGTGTTACAGCCATAATTTCTGAACCCATATAATCATACTGAAAAACAAAACATTTCTTTTTAAAGTTCAATTAACAGCAATTATTTTGAATATGAGTTATCAGGCAGGAGTTTGATGACAAGATTCATCAAAACATGTCAAGCATACAAACTACAAATATGAGTATTTTTTAAATTAAAGAAAACAATCGTTAACAAGGTTATCATCAGAAAACTAAACAGAATGAAAAGGAAATCATAATTAGGACACTGAAAATATGTCACTATGTTCTTTATTTTATTATTATGTATTTTTTATTATATACAAGAAGGTTTCAAAAATTTGTGAAAAAAAATAATTGAAAGGGAATGGGATTATTTCATAAACTTTGAAAAAGCCTCCTTGTGCTTCAAAGGTATTCTCAAACAGAAATATTTAAGAGTAACACAACAAATTAAGTACCTTTATGCATTCATTCTAATTATAAAGAAAGATCTGGGGCTACAAAGTCTCTAAGCATGAAGACAATCAAAGTATATCCCAATACATATAACAGCACCTCTAATGAAGTAGTCACAGAAAATTGTATGCATAACTTCTAAGCATTGTAGAATACAGAAGGTATAGTGAATCAAAGCAGACTATTGTCAGAGATAGTGCCAGGGAATGAGTTACTGGGTCTGAGGAACATGAAATGTGACTGAGGAGTAACTGTTTTTGCAAAGGGGTGTCCCACATGGTGACTTGAATGGAATAAAGCCTATGGGAATGGAGCCTTCCAGATCTTCATTTTCTTATGGGGCAAAACTCAAAGTAAGAAGATATAGCTGCAAAAGTCTACTAAAAATCAGAAATTGGAATGTATGAAGTACGAATTTAGGAAAATAAACTTGTCCAAAATAAAATTGAACACATAAAGGTGGATTTCCTAGGCATTAGAGAGTTGAAGTGAACTGGTATTGGCCATTTTGAATCAGAAAATCATGACATTTTCCTAAGCTGGAATGATACAATCAAAAGAAATGGTGTTACATTCATTGTCCAAAAGGACATTTCAAAATACATCTTGAAGTACGCTTCTATCTGAGATAGGATTCTAGCCATCAGCCTTCAAGTAAACCCAATAAATATAACTACTATTCAAATTCATGCATCAATGACAAAAGCTAATGATGAAGAAATCTACCAATTTCTTCAAATGGAACTTGATCAAATGCGAAATCAAAATGCATTGATAATTATTGGCGATAGGAATGCACAAATTGGACACAGAATGGAAGGAACAGTGGTTGGAAAATATGGTCTTTTTGATAGAAATGAAGCTGGAGGCTGCATGATAGAATTTTGCAAAACCAAGGACTGGTTTTTCATAGCAAATATCTTTTTACACAACCCAAAAGGCAACTGTACACATGGACTTGTCCAGATGCAATACACAGAAATCAAATTGACTACATCTGTGGGAAAAGAAGAAGGAGAAGCTCCATGCCAGCAGTTAAAACCAGGCAAAGAACTGGTTGTGGAATAAACCACCTATTGCTCTTATTTAAGTTAAGAGTGAAGCAAAGAAAATTAAGACAAATCCAAGAGAGCCAAAATATGACCTTGAGTTTATCCCACCAGCATTTCATGAGCATCTCAATAACAGAAGACAGGAAATAAAGAAAAGATCAGTGTGGGTGTCAGAAGAGACTTAGAAACTTGCTCAATATCTAGGGTAGCTTAGTAGATGTGGAAAAAGCATTTGACAACATGCAACACCCATTCCTGTTTAAGATCTTCAATAAGATAGGAATAGAAAGAAATTCCTCAATATTATGCAAGCTATATATGAAAAATCAACAGCCAATGTGTTAATCAATGGAGAAAAGACTAATAGAATTCCACTGTAAAGGGGGTCCAGACAAGGATGCCCCTTGTCTTCACTCCTATTTAACATTGTACTGGAGGTCCTAGCTAACAATATAAGGCAAAGACATCAAAGGTATTTGTCTGGGGAAGGAAGATGTGAAACTATCATTATTTGCATATGATATGATTTTATATATTGAAAATTCCCAAAACTTCACAAGTGGAGTGTTGGAAGTGATAGAGGAATATGGCAGAATGGCAGGATCAAAGATCAACAGATGGAAGTCTATTGGACTGCTATACACATCAGGCAAGATCACAGAAGAGGTAATTAAAGAGGTAGTACCCTTTGCAATAACCAAGCACAAATTAAAATATCTAGGGATATACCTGACTGAAAGAAAAAAAACCCAAAAGATTTGTATGAGGAAAAACTACAGAACACTATGACAAGAAACCAAGAGTGACCTCAACAAATGGAAGAGCATCCCACGCTTGTGGATTGGAAGACTCAATATAGTAAAGATGTCAGTTCTGCCCAAGGCACTGTATAAGTTTAATACTATCCTGATATAAATACCATCATCTTTCTTCAAAGAATTGGAAAAACTGATTACCAAATTCATATGGAGAGGGAAGAAGCCCAGAATTAGCAGAGAACTCCTCAAAAAGGACAGCGTGGGAGGGTTTGCTCTACCTGACTATAGCACCTATTATACAGCCACAGTGGTCAAAATAGTGTGGTACTGGTATAACGACAAATATTCAGACCAATGGAAAAGAGCTGAAAACCCAGAAATAAAAACATCAGCATACAGACAACTGATTTTTTAATAAGAAGCCAAAAAAAAATCAAATGGGAAGCAGATGCCCTTTTCAATAGTGATGCTGGAAAAAATGGATATCTACCTGCACAAAAATGAAGCAAGACCCTTACCTCACTCCATGCACAAGAATAAACTCAAGGTGGATCACAGACCTCAAGGCAAAACCCAAAACTATTAGGGTCATCAATGAGGGAATTGTGACAAACCTGTGAACCTTGGTTCAGGAATACATAGGTTATTGGAAATAGGGAAGGATACAAATGCAGAAGCATCACAAATTGACAAGTGGGATATACTGAAGATAAAACATCTGTGTACATGGAAAGAATTGACCAAGAGAGTAATAAGACCCCACAGACTGGGAAAACATTTTTAGCAATAACACATCAGACAAAGGCCTTATTACTAAAATCTACAATACTTTGCAAGCTTCCAAAAAGAAAAACACTAACTGTCCACTAAGGAGCTGGGCAAAGGACCTGAGCAGAAATTTCACAGGGGCAGAAATCCAAATGACCAATAAATATATGAGAAAATGTTACTAAACTTTAGACATAAAGAGAAATGCAAATTAAAACAACAATGAGATACCACCTAACACCCTCAAAGATAGCCCAATTCAAAAAATCAGAGAGCAACAAGTGTTAGAGGGGCTGTGGTGAGATAGGAACTCTCGTCCACTGCTGGTGGACTTGTAGGTATGTACAGTCATTATGGAAATCTATTTGGCGGTATCTAAAACAGATGGAAATCAAGCTACCATGTGACCCAGCATCCATCAGCTGGTCATATACCAAAAGAGGCAAGAAACAAACCACGGTCAGACATCTGTGCTCCAATGTTCATTGTGGCACAGTTCTCAATTGCAAGGAGTTGGAAACAACCCAAATTTCCATCTACACATGAATGGATCAAAAAACTGTATACATACAATGGAGTATACTACGCATCCCTAAAAAGCAGCAATGAATGCATGAAGCACATTGCTGCGTGAGAAGAACTGGAGGAAATCATGCTAAGCGAAGTAAGCTAAGCACAAAAGGACAAGTACAATATGAGTCCACTGAGGTAAGCTAAACAAAAATGGGGCATAGGAGAAAAGCTACTACATACATACATTCCTGGGGTGAGGTCCAGGTATTACAGCATGGGCCAAACAGGGATGCATAGGGCAACCAACTAAATAGGAGGGGGAAAGACAGAGGGGAAGAAAAGACATGGATTGGGGAGAGCAGGGCACTAACCCACCCAAGGGGAGGGTATTGTTTATGTCTCCACGGGAGAGGGAGAGAGAGACCAGGCTTCAACCCAAAGAGCCAAGGCTTGAATACAACAAACCAGCATGTACCAGGGAACCAATAGAGAGGTCTGCGGGGCCAGCCCCCTCCCAACTATGTAGACACCACCATCCCCACCCAGAAGAATGCACCTCAGAGGACAGCACTGAAGCTACAGCTTGGGGAGAGGGGCACAGATGATCAGAGCACACAGGGGAAATGAAGAGGGATGGAGAGGAGGGGAACACATCCTGGCCCCCCAAACCCCAAGGATGATATTCCTGCTCAGAGCAGACAATGCACAGAGAGGACTATAGGGCCAGTCCCACCACAAGACAGGATGCCCCTCACTGAACCATAGCGCTACGAGGACAACACTGGAGACACAGTGGGGGAATTGTGCCCAATCTGACCCCGTCACGTTGAGGCGAAACACTAAGGGCATGCAACTGAGCAGCAAGGGGAGCAATGTGATGAAATCCCCGGGGAATACCAAAAATAGACTTCGGAGACAGAGTGTAGCACCC